TATTTAATTTTTGGACCTTTTAATTATTATTACAATTATTTATTAATAAATATGATTAAATTTTCATATATGTAAAAATATGAAAATAAATAAAAAATACTTGGCATTTGCAAAAAATATCCTACAAAAATGCAATATATAACCACAAATGAAATCATATAAATTAAAGCACGCAAAAAAAATAAGAAAATAAATGAAATATATATATGTATGAATAATGTAATAAAATTACCTCCATAATTGTGGCCCATTCTTCACCAAATTAGAGAACCTTTGCAAATGAAAAATTAAATCATTAATATAAACACCAAAAACATATATATAAGATAATAGAAACTAAAGAACAATTTTCATAATCAAACAATTAATGAAATTGAAAGTAAAAGAGAGATGAAAGTAAAGAAAGGAATTAGTAATATTTAGGAGAAAAAATTGTGAAGAATGTGAATTAAATTTGAAGAAAAAGACTAAAGAAGAGGATTAATCATCAAGTAGTAGAAAAAGAAAGATGAACACATGAAGATATAATGAAAATTCAAAGAAAATTGCAGAAAATGAAGATGAATAAACAGTAAAGAAATGTGTTGAAGACGTTTGAGAAGAAAGAAATGAAAGAGAAGTTAGAGAATTCATGAAAATAATTCGCCATCTTGTATATAAATAACCAATAATATTTCGGACAGTCATATTAACTGAATTAAAAGGGTGAAATTTTCAAACATTTTCCATCAAAAAAATTGAATGGCAAGGTGGGATTGAAACATTTCTAAATTTATTTGGGTCATACATTTTGATCAAATTATATGTAAAGGGAAATTCAAAATTTTCTGGCAAAAATAAAGGGTTTTTTTTTTTTTTTCTTTTTGGATAGCTTATTTTGGTCAAGTCACTTGACCGAATTAAAGATGAAAATCAGCTCAAATTGAAAGAAGCACGAAAAATCTCAAAATAAGATTTGCCATGCTTGTTTCGGTCAGCATGGCTGACCGAAACATGCAGGGAACCTCATTTGTTGATTTTTCATGGGCTAAATTTAATTTTTCATCCATTAACTATTATTCTCTTTTTATTTTAATCTAGAAAGTTTAGTTTTCTTCAAAATCATCTATAAACTTTGAAAATCATTCCAAATTTATTTATCTGACAAACTCCCATTAATGTTTTTAATGAAATCCTATGGGATGCTGATGTGGCACGAATTATGTGGTATATACTGTTTTGAAAAATTACACTTTAACCCCCAAAACCTTTACAAAATGTTCAATTAAATTTTATATTCAAACCATTCCACAATACAATTTACTAACTAGTCCTTAAATAGACTAAATTAAAATTAATCAAAACTAATGATAAATAATTAAAATTGTTAGCTTAATTTGTTAATTAGTTAAGATTATAATATTATTTTTATCAAATTAAAATTAAAAAAATTCTTTTACGTGTAAAAATTTTAAAAA